AAGTGTGTTCTGATAATCAGAAACCAATCAGTGTTTCCAAATAAACTCCTTGACGACTTTTTGGGCATTGACATGTTTTGCCAAGATAGTGTTTTTACTCTATACTCTGATGACCACTTATAATCTCAAATCATCTTTTCCCATGGAAATGAATGGAAATACTCATTAGTCAGTGCAGCATGTTAGTCATTAAAAGCAGAGGATAAAGAATATATGACGGAGTGCTGTTTTTTTTTGGCCTGTCTCCATGTGTTTGTGTTTAATCTGTAAAGAATTAGAGCACCGTAACATAGATGCTATTTAGCATTAGCTTTAAAATAGCTGAGAGAAATCTGTCTATCCATCCATCTATCTCTCCATCCATCCATCCATCCACACATAATGGAAACAAGCTCAAATGATACCAGAGAGGAATAAAATACAGTGGGGCAGAATTGAAAAAGGGATGAGGCCTGCTGTGATGAGAACAGCTTGTTAGCACCACTAAGCTAACCGAAATAAGATTTCACTGCACGTGCGTTCACTCATCTTGACGCTAATCACAAAAGGACAGCGTGACTTGTGAGGATGTGGCTCAAACGTTGACTCCCTTGACTCAGCGCCTTTTTTGTTGTGATCGACGATGAGGTGGCCAGTTTCCATATGAGAAAAAAAACAAAAAACTCAAGCCCCGGCCACTACAGGATATGAATCAGGACCTGATTCAAGATGCAAAGAGCAGACAATAAATGACTCGTGGTTATTTTTACATGACAACGCTCAACTAGGATGATTCATTTTAGCTCTTGGAGCTCAATTAGCGATTATTACTGTGTATTCTGGTGACGTTGACGTTTGTTCTCCGCTCTATCGATGAAAAGCACTCGTCAAATTTATTCCTAATAATACCCGCGTTACCATGCATGACACAAACGTTTTATTAGGAACACCAGTAATGGGATCCAATTCAAGAGCTGTCTTAAAAATACCGGCTTTACAAAGCTAGTAATGCTCACTTTTCATTGATGCTGTCGGAGAGTATGCATCTATTGGTTGTTTATGTGAACATAAACATTTTTTATGGTAAATTTTTCACAAAGCAATGTCGGTCAGATTGGATTGTAGTGGTGTACCTTTGGTTGAGGCCCATCGGGGCGAATTATACCATTTAAATGCGCAGTAGTAATCCTAGAAAAGCGGAGTTATTCAATGTATTCTTCCCTGACAGGATTTGACAAAATTGTTCTTCTCTCATTGAAGTATTCAAAATATATTTTCCCCAAAATCTGTTAGTAATGATATGATGATTCTGTTTCAGTCGGTTTAATTTTTTCCAAATGTATTGACGCCTTTTGTGTAAAATTGTAGTTTGATACATTTTTAACATCGGTTTCAAAAATGTGAATTTATGTTTGTATGCTTTTATTTTTAATTTGTATTGAGAATTCATGCAATTGTTTCAATGTATGTCCGATTTGTTACTATTGCATTTGTTGATTTAATTTTAAAGTTTTTTTTTTAATTTCAATTCGTCAAGTGCATGTTTTTTTAACGTTAAGCATAAATAAGCCTTATTTAAAATTGTTTCAGATGCTCAAATTGTCTCACTTTGCCTTTGTTTTTCTTTTACTGACCTGAAGCGGTGACAAATGACCTCCACCTTTTTCCAGCCCACCATTGATCACATCCGCACCTTCATTTCCTTTAATTGAGGCGCTCACATTTTGTCTATCAGGCAGATTAGCCTTGGCATTTCCAGGTGAACATTACGTGTGTGTGTGTGTGTGTGTGTGTGTGTGTGTGTGTGTGTGTGTGTGTGTGTGTGTGCACGCCTGTGTGTGTGTGTGTGTGTGTGTCAAAGCAAAGAGGGGAAGTTAGCTCTTTGATCAAGCTAATGAGCTGCCACCTCTTCCTCCAGGGCTTGCAACTTAGACTGGGGGGGGGGGGGTGTATGGACACCTGAAAAAACACACACCGCGACCATGCATTGCTTTTAGCAGCACACACACCCGATGCGTCACACCCGCATCCTGTCACCATTATCCCCTGGTCACCCCCTGCCAGTTGTCTCTATCTAAGTGTCAGTCACACCCTTACTTCACCTCCAGTGTCCTCACCGCTAGCTAACAGTAGCCTAACCCCTCACAATGGCCGAGCCACCCACCTACTGTCGTGGCCCCCCCACGCCTCCTACCTATCAACCCCTTTCTCTCACAATAGCTCGCCAAAACATGTTTTTTATACACATATATATATTTTGACATTATTGACTTTTCACCTCAGGAAGTGTTGCCTTCTGTGGAAATGAGCCGTGATTGGATGACAACACATACATTGGTGACTCATGGCAAACAAACGGCAGACGACAAGAAACAAAAGCTGGTGAATCTCACAAGGGGATTGTAAACAGTAGATAAGATAAAATGGTTGGTTCCTGTTTTCTTTGGCCTTTTATCTCTGTATCTATTTGTTGATGCTTATTATTTAGTGACTTGGTAGTTTAGCAGTTCCTTAATTGCTCAATAATTGTCATGAAAAATTACATTGGCTTTCATCAACTACTGGTACTTACTAACCAATTCATTTAGTTGTGGTTTTATAAGGAAGGCGTCTTGTACTCTGTTATTTTATCATCACTTTGCATTCAGACAAAGCAAGCAGTTTGTGTTTGGTGGGACAAAAGGCACATGATAACTGCGGTGCTAATGCGCATCAACAACCTCGCTTAAAAAGAATTTGTTGGCCACTCATGTCTTAGCAGTCACAATCCTGGTTGTAATTTCGCCTTGCAGACATGTTTTCATGAATTGTATCTCACTATCCTCAAAGTGCTGGTCCCTGTTTCCGGCGACGAAAGGATTAAAATTTGATCACTTAACCTTATTTTTTTTTCTAATAAATTATTTCTGTTTTAATGTCAATGTAATTATTTTTTTATTATTTTAGTTCAGTCAGTGATCGTTGTGTAGTTCTTTGCTACAGTACTCAACAAGGCTGCGGTGTATCCAGGCAGGTTTCTAGCCTCCCACTTCCTCACCCTTCCTCTGCCCTCCTTTCCCCTCTTTACACCCTGATGTGTGTCACTCAAGGTGGCGACAGGCCGAGATGGCGGCGCCGATGCGAAGTCGGTCAAGCGATAAGCATTTGTCTTTTTTTTTTTCTACACTGCTGCTTTTTCCTTCTCTTTCTTCCGCACTCTCTCTCCCATTCTGCATAGCCTTTTGCAAACTGTTGCTATGTGACCCACTGACCCGTGACTTGACTGTGCTTTGACAGCAGCCATCAAAGCACTTGACTACTTCAGAACACTGGTGACAACCTCAAACTGGTCTAAAAGCACTGAGATGATTTATATTAGATTAAAAAAAACAAAAAAAAAACTGCAGTGAAACATGAAGCAAGCAAGGATGTAATTGGAGGACTCCACCGAGGAAGCCACGGCGGTCTCCAAAAAACATGACTGCAGGTTCGAAGTTTACAAAAGAGCGCTTGGATAGTCATTATCGTGTGGATGTATGAAGCCAACGTTGAGTTGCTTGAAAGGAACGCGAGGGGGAAAAAAAATACAGACGACACTACCATCAAAATCTCGTACGAACTGTAATGGGAGATTTACATGGCGTGGGGCTGCTTTGCCTCTCCACGGCCTGATAATGCAGGTCGTTCGAAAAGGTTCGCCTATTTTTCTTGCAACTCTTTCATCCTCTTCTGCTTCCTGAACGCTAGATAACTTGCATCTCACAGAAAAACTGATTTCCCAAAGAAAAGAAAGCTTAAAACAGACATGGGCAAACTACGGCCCGCGGGCCGGATCCGGCCCGTTGGTCTTTTTCATCCGGCCCGCCGAAGGTTGGTACAGTACATAATTATGGTTCGATGTAAATTATTGCATTAATTTCATTTGGACTTGTAATACAGGCATTTAAACGCCAGGTGGCGCAGTTACTTGAAGTCGCAGAGCACAGGGAGGGAGGGGGAGACGATACGGAAGCCCGCAGTAGCACTAAATCAAGTAAGTCCCGCTCGATACGACGAAATAGATGTATCCGCACCGCTATTTTCTGTCATTGGATCCAAAACGGCGACATGCAAGCGACTCTTTGTTGCAGTGAGTTTTCCTGGAATTGCGAAATTTTTACATCCTATATTAGAGCATGGCATCCAAACAAAGAGGAGCGGTAATGGCCGCGGAAGAGAAAATGAAGTGTATCTCATTAAACGAAGCGGGTTACGAAGTACGAAACATTCAGGAGACGCTTGGAGTCTGGAAGACTCAAATCTACGAGACTTTGAAAAACGAGGAAGCGATTCTTGCTCAGTCCGATTCGGGCTATTTCCATGCTCAGAGTGAATTGCTTGCGGCTCGACGGACAGTCAAGTAAATGAACGTTTCCTGAAATGGCTTGACTGTTATCGTGCTAAAAACTTTCCGCAAACTGGACTGCTAATAAGAGAGAAAGCGAGTTCCATAACGCTAACTATGGGCATTGAAGACTTCGAAGCGTCCTGCGGCTGGCTTCAAAAGTTCGAAGCACGACATCAGCTGAGCAACGCTGTCTTGTGTGGTGATCGAGGGGAGGTCGAGTTCGAGACAGTGAGTGAGTGGAAAGAAAGCCACCAGGTCTTTTACTCGTCTCATTTTGGAGCAAATAGTCCTACCTTTGTTATATTTTCTCATATACTGTACCTGTACTGTATGCCGCAGTTTTTGGGCAATATATTGTTGCTCTTTGTTGCTTGTGTTGTCACCAATGTTTGTTGTTAACATACCGTACTTGGACGTTCATACAGGACATATACGTTATCTCACTGTTCTCATGAAAAAAGTATGGTAATACTTGAATGCTTTTGTTCTGTTGATGTTTGGTATGGACTGTCAACATATACGTTTTTTTATATGTACCATATCTTGTGCTGACCCGGCCCACCTGTCAAATTTAGAAATCAATGTGGCCCCCGAGCTAAAAAGTTTGCCCACCCCTGGCTTAAAACCAAAACATTGTGTTTTCACCCATAAACAGATGGCGCGGGTGTGGTGACGAACATGTCGAAGGAGGTCTGTTTCTTCTGCTGCATGTGAGTCACTTCACGCCTGCTACCACGGTCACATTACTTCCATTGTCATTTACATTCTGCTTCATCTCTGGTTTCCCTTGCTGGTGGTGTCTCGAAAGAAAACAAATAAGCCCAAGAAAAATGTAAACATACTTTCATCTTTAAGACTTTACATCAACACCACGCTGCCAACTATGCCCCATTTGCTTCTATCACTATTCTGGTTCGATCACATTTTTCCTCTTTGCCATCACCGGTATTAGTGGTGTCACACCCACAAAATGATAATAATAATAAAATAGAAAGAAGCCACAGAAAAGGCATTGCACTTCATTTACTCATGTTAGATGTTCACTGAGCTAAAGTAGTGGACATCCTGTCTGGAAACACCC